GAATATATATTATTTTGTACACATATTTCATGTTTGTAGTAACTATATGAATGGTTTGTTTGTAAGGTTATTATTATTTTGAATAACCCGCTATTTTATGATTTAAATCTCTACTGTCACTTCCGTTTCTCTACCAGATTGCAAATTAGTTTGAGAGAATTTAAGGTGAGATTTTCAGGTTGTAAAACAGTGAAGAATACTATCTATCTAGCTAGCTCAGATAAGATTGTATTCTTTGGCTTTGCATTAGAGTTATTCACTTTTTTATTGTTATACCCTGGTGAAAAATTTGAGCCAGATTTATGTTAAATCAATTATGTAGCCTTTGGCTACTAGACTCGGTTTTAAATTTGAAATTGACTGTTACTTTATTCTACATCACCACAAGTGGCTGGCCAAATTGTCAAGCATGAAACGTGCATTTATGTTCCAGTACTGATTTGTTTTAAAACCTTCTTAAGACTGAATTTTTTTTTTTCAGATGAAGCGATAATTCACTCCAAGTCTGTAAGGAGTTTGATACTAATTTAAGCTACCAAAAAACGCTAAACTCTTTTTGTTCTCTTATCAAACATATTAATGTGACCAAAATGTATTATTATAGTTCTAAATGTAGATAATGCTATTGTGTTTTCCATATGATGTAATTCTTAACATATAAAACTCAAAAATTCTTTCCCAGTTTAGTATAAGTAATATTTTAAATAGTTTAATACAGTACAAAGTCCATAATCCGGACTTGTCGGGACTTCTGCGTTTCCGGATTATAGGTCATCAATTTAAATCTGGTAAGATGGCATGCAGAAACTATACAATTAAAAATATGAAACTGTAATTTATGAAATAAAGAGCAATTATGATCTAAAGGGTATCAAAATTTACAAAAAAAAAAAAAAAAAGCTTAATATTTATTTGTTTACTTTATTAAACATTTCTTTGAATGTAAGTTGTTTAAGTTGCTTCGTTTGTGCTAAACACACATGCGTAAACATTAAACACGCATCATGCGCACACGTAAAGCATACAAAAAAAAAGTTTGTGGCTTTGAGGTCTGGATTATAGATCATTCTGGATAATGGACATCAGGATTACAGACTTTGTACTGTATATATTTTTAACATAATGCCATTGCATTGAACACATTTTGGAGGTGATATAATAGGATTTACTGAAATAAAATTGAGAAAACATGTTTTTTTTTTTTTTGTGAAAAGGGCAATATGGGGTTCAAACACGAAATTAATTTACGATTTGTATGACGATAGTACAGTTAAAAACCAGTTAAAAAATGCTTTAAGAAATTTTATGATTGAGATTTTAGTCTGGCAATAATAAATACTCTGACAAACCTACTTACTCATACTGGTAATAGCTGAATATTTAACATTAGACTGTACATACTTCTCTGTGAAAAAAAACATGGAGAAAAATCATGCCGTGTGTGTATATAACTTGTAATACTTGAATCTAGTAATCAAAGAGCATTATAGCATTCTTTGTAGAAAACATATATGAAATAATATTATCCAAGACAGCATAATTTGTGTCGTAATACAAATATAATTAAAGCACCAAATATATCATATTTTTATAAAGAAGTTCTATGCTCTATCAAGCCTTCATTGATCAGATCTCAGTAGTACTACAACTTAGTTGTCGGATTTTTCCTCATCTGACCTTGCTATCCGTTGCAGGATCAATGTTTCCCAACAATTCAAGCTATCCAAAATATAGCAATGACAAGTTTATAACATTTACCAAAACAAGCATTCTTTCAAAGAATTGCTTCCAGAAATGACGAGAATGCTGCAGCAGGTAATATGTTCTGTAGGATAGTTCTTAGGTGGCTAGACAATAAATTTTTACATTTGAAACAATTTCATATGCATTTTTGCCACCCAGATGGTAGATTGGTTAGAGAAGCTGATTGCAATACTGAAGGGCCCAGGTTCATATCTATAAGGCATGGATGTAAATTATCTGTCCCCTCATAGGAGGTAACAGTGGATAGGAGGTAACATCTAATAGATGCCTCCAAAATAAAATGGGGCCCACTTCTGGCCTTAGGAGTGGCCAATGCTGAAAAAAAAAAAAAAAAAAAAAAAAAAAAAAAAAAAAAAAAAAAAAAAAACGGCAGGTGTCCACCATTCGATTAATATATATATATATATATATATAAATTGTTAAAAATGTTAAATATTATATATATATATATATATATATATATAACATTTTTAACTATTTATATTCAAGTTACTTTAAAACAATTTTTGGAAATTAAACTTCCTACCTATGGGTTCCCTCCTTTTAGATATTTCTACTAAAATTAATGTTAGGAGATAATATTAATCAATATTTCTTTAGTAAATAAATTATATATATGCATTTTCTGTTAGCTTTTTTAACACAGGAGTATTTGATATTAATCATCGTCGATATATTGAAAATTCTTAAATTAGGCATTGAAAATCATTTTTACCAGTTTGGAACCAGTTTACAATAAATACACAACATCATCCATTAATTTTTTTGTGACATAAAGGCTGAATATGGCAAACTGAAATGGCTACTAACAGGTATTTTATTAATTATAATTGAACAAATTAGATGAAAATGAGCACTGCTGCAGTGAAGAATTAAAAAAGTAAACTAAATACAAGAAAAATACTTTTAGCTCATGTATTAGTTATAGCAAATCTGGCTACTGGATTAAAAATTATTTTACATAACTAAGTAGTCCCAAATAATTTTTTTTCACTTTCCTTTAAATTAGCTTTATTGAGATGGCATGATTATTGAGATGTTTTATTTAATATGGTAAAAAATTTTAAACATCTTATTAAGATATTTTTAAACATATAAAAAACAGACTTTTTTAAAGATCATACGGCCAATTAGAAAAGCAATATAGTAAATGTGTAATACAGTCAAAAGTCATTAATTCGGACAACCATAATCCGGACCTCAAAGCTACAAACTTTCTGCGCATGCGTCGAGTTGACGCATGCGCGTAAGACCTTTACAAGACCTGCGCATATGCGTGTGTGCAAGCGCATAATAGGTTTACGCATGCGCGTTTAATTTATAATGAACGGACGGTATAAGCTAAAATTATCTATTTCAGTTAACGTTGCAGATTGCATTGTTCCTTAATCTTTGAATTGGATCCGGCTTATTATTTTTTGAAGACTGTTAGAGCAATTTTATAAAAGTAAGCTTGAACTTTCTATTATGTCAAATAGAATTTCCGATGCTGGAGCTCCCAAAGGATCTACAAAGCAAAAGTATGTTTCGATGTGCATCAAACAAAAAGTGGAATTGCTGCAAAAGATGGATAAAGGCATGAAGAAAGTGACAGAGAGGTTAGTGAAAACGAAAAAATTTCGATTGACAAGTTAGTCGGTATTCTCGGCACAGCAATTATAGGACTTGAACATCAGAACTTTGTAAGTGAACAAGAAATTATATCTGTTTATATATAATTAAAGAGAAAGTATTAGCACATGAAACAACTTACATTGAAAGAAATGTTTAATAAAGTAAACAAATAAATATTAAGCTTTTTTTTTGTAAATTTTGATACCCTTTAGATCATAATTGTTCTTTATTTGATAAATTATGGTTTCATATTTTTAATTTTATAATTTCTGCATGCCATCTTACCAGATTTGAGCTGATGATCTATAATCTGGAAAAATCGATAATCCGGAATCGTCGAAGTCCCGACGAGTCCGGATTAACGACTTTTGACTGTATATAACTTCAAGATTTGGTATTTCCCAAATAAGCTTTTTATATAGTATGTCTTATTACTAAGATAACCTTTCAAAAACTAAATAAACAATTATTTAAAAGAATCTCTGGTTTATAAAACTAAATTTCCAGTTCTATATATTTTGCAGAAGTTTTAAGATTCTTATTAAAATTTATTGTTTAAAACAGAACAGATAATACTCAAATCTAGAAAGACTAGTTAAATTTTCTTACATTAATGCACTCCTAAACTATTTTCTGCATCATAAGCTCTGTTTTAGTTAACTAAAGTTACGTTACCCTTTAATTAATGAAAATAAATAATAAACTACCTAAAGCTTAATGTTTTCCTTCAGCATTACGGTTTAACACAAAATTATATATAGTAATGGCGAATACATAAGCCACAGCATTCAATGACATTTAGGATGACATGACATTACATAACATATTTCTTCATGCTCAATTCAGCTTTTACACTCATATGAATACGAATTACTTTTTTTTTTTTATTATTTACTGTTAACATGTTACACAGACTGCTCCTCTCTCCACCATTCTGACCTTTTACTTAGTATTAAGCAGTACTGAAATAATCGAAAGAAACCAAATAACAGATTAAGTTGCATAAAATACCTACTTCTAATTTCAGATTTATTTTTTAAGACCCACCCACAAAAATGATAGTAACTTACTGAAAAAAATCAAATGCAAGATGGTAATTTTTATCAATTTATTTAAGCTCAATTATCAGGTCATCATTCCAGCTCTAAATCATCAGCCCCCAATTCCTATACGTTATAATTCTGCATAAGCTGCTCAGTTGGCATGGTGGTAGGTGGAGCTGGCTGGTAGTCTTGGCCCAAGTTCAGATCCTGGAGAAAGCATGGACGTTTGTGAGTGTATAGTATCTTTGCAACATGCAAATATGTAAAATTCTGATGAACCGAAATTCCTTTCGAAAGGTTGGTGGCATAAGAAGAGGAGTTGGAAACCCTTAAATCTATTCCCCAGTGTGTCTCCCTTCAAAATTGGTATCTGATAAATGGCCACTCTTAATGGAAATTTAACTAAAAATAAAAATATAATAATTGAGTCACTAGGAAAAAAAAATCTGCATTTTTGGAATTTCCCTCTTTTAAACTAATGTGTCGTATGAAGCTGTTTTTTCACTACTAATTTATTTCACAAGTGTCTGAATTTGCTTAATTTTTTTTTTGTATTTATTTAATACATCACACTACAAATGATCACACTATTTTTTATTTTAATAAATTAGTAAAAACAGAAATGTTTCTCTTCTGTTTAAGGACATGTGAGAAGATGGCATGAAACAAAATCAAGTTAAGCATTTTAATTAAACTTGTTCCAAATTCTTAATATGTCAAGACAAAAATTCATTCATTCTATAGAAAATATTCTTCTGTTTTCTCACTTTAATGCATTTACTAAAAATTTTTGTTATGTTAGTGAAAAATATAAAATTAATAGAATATCAAAGCCAGTGTAATCTCCATTAGAGCATAAAGTGAAATGTTGATTGTATGTTTTTTTTATTCAGTCTTGAGTAGAAAGAATGAACCCAGAAAAACAAAATTTTTCAAGTAATATTAATTTATATGCAACAAGTAGTATTATGGTATAGATTATTAAGTATCATGAATTGAGGCCTACTATTGAGAGCAATCTAAAAAACTGGGCAGACAGAACTTTTTGAACATCAGTGAGTACTGATGAAGTACAGTGATTGAATGACAAAACTATTTTGCACTTAATCGGTTTCCTATTTACCATTGCATAAAGCTCCTACAGTTAGCAAAATTGTATGCTCTTATAAGTGGGAAGAACCAGAATTATAAAGATTCTAAATATATTTTCAATTTTATTTGTCACAGCTGAAGTTTTTAAAAGTGTGTGTAATTGTAGCACACTATGATTATTAAATTACCATTTTTAAGAAATTTTTATCAGACAAAATTTTAATTTTGTTTCAATTCTTTTTTCCTTTTTCTATGCCAGTTAACATAGTTTTATTATTACTATAAGTAACAGCTAATACTTAAAAATATTATAAAATGAAGGAAGCTGCTGAACATTATTTTGAGGAGTGTGACTCTTTGGTATCATAAGTAATTAAGATATATAACACATGCACTGATGTTCACATGGCTTGAATAAATAAATAACAGTACATTACTCAAAAAGGCTTTTGTTATAATATGTTAGAACCTGCTGAATATTTCTCATAAGAATCTGAATTAGACACACTCTCATTTATTTACAAGACAATAATACAAGATTTTATCAAGTAACTGCTTATAAAATAATATAATAATATTATTTTGCAAACTATAAATAAAAACAGGAACTTCAGCTAAAAAAAACCTGATAAAAAAGGTTGTAGATTAGTTGCCATAACTTAATACTGTGACAATGTTTCAATGTACAAAAGCCATACAGCCATACAGGGCATTAAAACAAAGTATAAAATACTTTTTTTGACAAAAATCAAACAATAAAAGTTTAAACTATAGCCTGATTTCATTTCATGATAAGCCTAAATACATAACCAATTCCTATTTTTCAACTAAAGAGAATAATGAATTAAATTTTCATTCATACAAATTTCAGTCTACTTCATAACTTAGCTTGTTTTATTTTTACTACACCGAATTTTTATTTTCTCTTGTTTAAATCAGCAAAAAATTAAAAACACACATATAAACTAAACAAGTTCAATCTTACTTAAAAAAAAAAAAGTTATTTGGATAACGCTAGTTCTGGATATCTGGAATCTGGAGAATTAAGAGTTCCAGTGCAATTGCAAATATCATCTTCAGATTTTCACAACAAACAGATAAGAAATCTACATTAAAATTAAATTAGTTGCACATGTATTTTACACCCATGACAGAAATTTTTAACCTATCTCTGCCCTCTCCAAAAAATTGGGAGATTAGAACACTTTTTTAATTTCACGCTCACATACAAAAAGTAAATACACAGCATTATCCATCAATTTTTTTAACATAAGACTGAATATGGCAAACTGGAATGGCTACTAACAGCATTTTATTAATTATAATTTGACAAATTTGATGAGTATTTCCAATTTAAAAAATATATTTTTAACTGCTTTCAGTTTATAGTCTCATATAAATTTTTTTTTTTTTTTTTCCTAAATAAGTTGCTTTTTAATAAAACCAAAAAATATACTAGGTGTCTATAATTTAAAGAACCTTATTTCAAAGCTGCCAACAAGTGAAACCAGTGATCAGAAAATTGTGAAATTTGAGGCAGACTTAATGAAGGGATGAGAATGTCTTTCAGAGAAAAAACAGTTAAAAATAGCATCACCATAGGGCATTTTACTTTGAAAACCTGTAGTAAAACAATAAATCTTTGTTGATGTCATACAGCAGCTAATATAAAACATAGAACATTGATGGAGACTTTGTTTTCAATGCGCTTATTGCTCACAATGACAAAAGTTTACGAGATTGCGTTTTTTTTAGTAAAACTGTTTTACTTAAACAGCCGGCACTTTCATTATGTGTGGCCTGCTTGATCCCCAAACCTCAATCCATGCAATTTTTTGCTTTAGGGACATTTGAAACATCTGGTAAGCCATGACAGTCCAAGAACTTTACCTATCTTAAAGTCACACCGCATGCAGAACATTTCTCAGCACACTTGTGTCAACTGTGGGTCATGCCATTTTGTGATATCAGATGGTAGCTGAAAATGATTACCATCACATGGAACATGTTTCCTTTTTAAAAAAATTGTAAAATTGTAAAACTATAGTAAAGTTGGGGCTAAATGTATAATTTATTAATATAATGAATTAAACACGCCTCTGGTGATGATATTTGTAACTAATTTTTTTTTTCACCACTGAAAGACATTCTCATCCCTTTATTAAGTCTGCCACAAATTTTGCAATTTTATGATCAGTGGTTTCACTTGTAGGCAGTTTTGAAATAGGGTTCTTTAGTTATAGACACCCTATAGCACTCTAAAATAAAATCCCCTTAGATATTTTGTAAAAAGAAATTTTCAGAAAATGGCATTAATTATTAATTTATTAGATGCACATTATTTGGATTTAAATAAGGTACAAAATATGTGTACTGGTATACAGATATTTCTCATTTGATTTTATTAAGAAATATTTGGTGGCTACTTATAGCAAGTTTTATAAATTTTTTGAAGACTAAATTTATATAATAATTCATTGAAAAATATAATTTATTTACAGTATTTTTTTTAAAGGCTATATTTAATGCAAATGATCCATAATGTTAAATCATATGTAGATAAACAGTTATTTTGAATCATGGTTTCCATTTTCATTCATCTGATGAACAAACTGACCAAGTAAAGAAATCATTTTTAACTCATGTTGTTGTTCTTCTTTTCTACGTCGCTCCTCAAATTCCATCCAAAGCTTATGCATACTTTCATCTCGTTTCATCCGTTCTTGTTCCAAACATGTAATCTGCTCCAAAAACCGTGATTCGGTACTTTCTTGATACTTAAGAAATTTATCTGTTACACTGTCTAATATAGTTTTTAACCACTTATGTGTTGATTCCTGTTTACGTCTCTTTTGAGGAGGTTCACTTGCTTCTACAGAGAGGAAAAGGATGTAAGAATTTGCAGCAAAAAAACAGTACAGTAATACCAAGATTTACAGTAACAAAATAACAATTTAGAACAAAACACTGATGGAATCATAAATGCCACGCAAGAACATAAAGCATCTATCACAGTGATTCTCAACCACTGTGCCATGGCACTTTAGTGTGCTGAAAGATTCTTTAGATGCCAAATTTTACAAATGCATACAATAAAAATTATTTTGTATGGTCTTGAATATAGTGTGACTGTTCTTATGGAATATAATGTTTTTTATTTTTCCTTATATGGAGCATGTATAATTTTCCTGCCTACTCACAGTGGCATCTCCCCATACATACATGACATCAGACAAGTAGTTCAATTGATTCTGACTTCTTAGCGGGGACTGGCTGAACCAATCCCAACACATCTCAAATTATTCAATGTTTTAACCCAAACTTTTCAGAATTTTTAATCCCAAGCACTTTGGCAGAACAAAAACAGCAAATTTGAAATTTGCATGACTATTACAGTATTCAATTTAACCACACAAAGCTGTATCGCTCGTGTAAGCAAACACTATGCAGTGAGAAGAAACTCCGAAATATATAGGTATACAAATGAGAGAAAAAGAAATATATCCCTCTTACTTCTATACTTTTTTTTGATTGGGTTCAATATGCATTTGTGATAAATAACATGTAAGTGTATGAAAATTTGAAAAAAAGAGGAAGAACTAATTTCTATGTATAATAAACAAGATTTAATTTCAAAAGAATCAGTTACTTCACTCTGAATTATTCTTAGATATGATTATCCAACAACACTGCCAAAAGCCTTTAACCCCTTAACGCATTTGCCCGTGTCTCACACGGGCGAAAGTTTCCGGCAAATTTGCACATGCCTGTGTCTCACACGGGCGCCCTTGTATCTCGCGTTATTTTATTTCTAATGCTTGTCTGAGATCTGTTCCAGTAAAAATAAATAGGCTAGATTATAATTAAACTTATTTGACATAGATGGCACCACTATTCAGCATTTTTCTTGTGTAAACCACGTGGCGCATTTTGATGATTAGCTATAAGTTTGCTAGGAATTCTTTGCTATAAAGTAATCGTTTGGTCTGGAAAAGGTAATATATCCATTTTTATTACATAAATATAATAAAAGTAAGCAGTTAACTGCAAATTATATTACCAAGTGTTTTTGTAATTTAAAAAAAGTTACCTGATAATGAGCGACTCTGACGATGACAATTTTGAATATGCCAATTTATCAGACAGTTTCAGCGATGAGAGTGATGATTTCTTGAGTGATGGAAGTGAACAGGAAGATAATGACAACGAGATTTTGGATATAGCAAGGAATTGATATCAAATTAGTATAAATCAACCAAACGTTGCACCACCGAGATTTCGATTTGAAGCTAACCCTGGCATGATTATGCAAGAAAAAAAATAGGTGATTTTTTGACCGAAAATTAGAAATTAATGTGTGCCTTAAGGGGTTAAAAGTGTGTTATTACAATTTTTGCATCTTATTTATGGAAATTCATATTTTCAACAAGAACATAAAAACAAACAAACAAACAAAAAAAGACCCAGACTTAAATCTGGAAGACAAAATTACATTTTTAAGCTTAGATATAAACGAAGTTATCAAAAAACATTAATCTCAAATTTTGCATTAAATGCAATTTATCATTTAATAAAAATTTTTATTTCATATTTCATTGAAAATTCATACTATATTCTATCTTTACAAAGTACATTATAGTTACATCAATCAATTAATCAAGTAAGATACTCTTAAATTTATCTTATTGTTAGCCTGCCACCGAATTTTTAAATTATTAATAATACACACTATGATGAAAAAAAAAAGATTGAGAATCTATCACCATAATGGAGCAACTGAAAACATTCAAGAAAATGCATCAAATGAAGACAGTTTTATATTTTGATTCTCAAATAAATATTATTTGCATATAGTGATTCACAAATAAATATTAATGGAAAAAATGGTTGCCATTGTCTCAAGGACTTCTTTTGGTCTAGTATTTCATTTCCCTTCTACTACCCGAAGGAGGCATTCCCCTATCTGCCACCTTGAGGACGTGCCCTCTAGGGGTTACAGGCTCCCCCAATATTATTTCCACAGATGGAAGCAGTGATTTCCACGGATGGATCCTTTTGACTTCTTAAAGGACACAACACCAACCAACCACCAAATAAATATTATTTGCATGTTAACAAATTAAACATCCAATTGTTATTTTATATTGTGGTAACCACATAGTTACATGGGTCAGTGAGCTAGCAGTGGCTTAAAAACTGAAAACATGGATTATAGGTGCAGTCTCATACTTTTTCCCTGATTCAGCAGTTTTTAATGAAGAACAAAGTTCTATCCCTTCCCAGTTGTGTATTCACATGATTTGGCCATAAGGATTTTTTTTTTTTTTTAAATCCTCCCATTTTGTTAGGAATCTTTTATTTTGAATTTTTCTGCCCACACATTATAATATATTTGCCGGCGTATAAGACTAACGTTTTTCCTTTGAAAATAGGTCTGAAAAATGGAGTGCGTCTTATATGTCAACACTCAGTTTTTGATTACGTTAATTTCCGGAAATTTCCTCTATTCGGAGTTAAGCAATTTTTTTTTTTTTTTTCTTGTTTCCTTGCAGAGTGTGGGAATATTACACTTACTTAGAGTTCAGTGAATGTGCATGTGCTGTCATCGACGATCACAGCTGGGTTCGTTTAAACTTTCCAATTTTTGTGAATGATTTTTCAGTGTGTGAAATTTCTACTGTTCAATTTTCTTCCTCGCTAGTAGAGGAGAAGAATTGTACAATACAAGATAAGCAAAAAAATACACTAGAACTTTCAAAAAATTTAAATTAGAATTGACAAAACTACCTATTTGGCAAAATATTGAAGGACAAAATTGACAAAAGTACAGACTAGAATTAACATAAAGACTAGAGGATACAATACCTCTATACAAAAACACCTCTAACGGCTGTCCAATCGATATGTATGTGCGGTCCAATGGCCATCGCAATTTTTCATCAAAAAAAAAAGTCAAAAAGTCAAAAATATTCTGAAAAAAAAATTCATATACAAAATAATTTCTGCCTGACTCAGTATATACTCCCTTAGATATACAGGCAAAAAAGTGCTCTTTGTATTTATGTATATAATAATGCTATATATATGTTCCTAAATGTATTGTTATATGTATGTCATTATGTCCCAATATGTTATATATTTACCTTTATGTTATATATTTGCCTTTACGTTCTGTACTTATCATTATGTTCTACATTTATCGTTATGTATTCGAGTATGAAAGGCACCATATGTCACAATTTTATTGTAATCATATGAAAAAATGTAAATATGTCAAAATTCTTTCAAAAAAATTATAATGTTCAAATAAAAAGATAGTGCAGTTGGACAATACCCACATTACCTATGGTTAAACATTGGGTGTCCGCTGCACTACAACCTGAAATTGTTCAATTTTCTTAAATTTGTTGACAATTTATGACTCAACATTAGCCTTGCTATAAAATAGCATACAAGCTACGTGTAATTGCATATGCTAAGGAACATGAAAGGAGGGCTGCAGAGAGGCATTTTGAGCCACCCCAACTGAGAAAATGACAAGAACTTGGCAGAATCAGGAACAGAATCTAAAAAAAGCAACTTACAGTAAACATAACCTATGACGGGGAAAAGTGATTCATTTAACTCTGGAGATGAGTGTCATGGTTTTGGCGAAGAAGATTAAAAGGTGTTCTTTCCCGGACAGATCGAGTATTTGCAGAATGTATTACTTTGTATTTGTATTACTTTATATTTAAAATACTGTAAATTCATTATAATGATCAGTAATAAAGTTTTATCCTTCAAAAATGTGTATAAAAAAAGGGGGGCTATCTTATACGCCGACAAATATGGTATTTGTTTAGTTTTGTTCTAGAGGTCAAATTTAGGCAAATACGAAACTCCATTTAAGGCCTACTAGGTAATTTCTTTCATCATTCATTTTAACTATTTACCAGTTTCTTTTTTCTGCTATATTGTATCTGAAAATACCACACTTTTGATACAAAATTTCATGTTGAATGATAATATAAATTCAAATCAACCATCAAAACTGTTACAAGATTTGAATTTATGCTAATTTTTACTTAGAGGAAGGTCAAAATGGCATTTTTTAGAAAACTAAATAAATTAGAAAATATAATTTACAAAGATGAATGTTGGGAAAAAAGCAAACTTACATTTAATAAATAACCTTCCAAAAGTTAGCTTTTGTATGATAAATTTTAAAACACGATGATAAACATATGCCTACATCATAATCAGGACAAAAATATCAAATTTCTTTTCTAACCTATTCTCCAATGTCATACCTTTTAAGAACTGTAGATAATGTACTGTCGGATCAATCTTAATTTCTTGTTATTGGAACAATCCCTTCTAAAAAATGTTTTTTAATCAATTGTAAATGTTCAATCAATTATAAGGACAAAATTCCTGACTGTCCTTCTTTTCTCATTCATTGTCCCATGCCTTAATCAGTTGATCAACTAAGTCAAATCTAAAATCTGAGACCATTTCCCTCCATGCTCCTGGTATAAAATAAAAGAATGCCAGTGATATATCTAAATGGTGAGTTCAGGGGTTACAGGGTTTGTTTTAGTTTTTTGTATTTTTTTATGTCAAGATAATTGGTAGGATGATGATCCATTCTTTTTTTAAACTCTGTAATTCTCATTGAATGTCTTTTTTGTTACTTTTTGTGTTCCATGCAGATACATTTGCTACCTGTCTACCAAGTCTTCCAGTACTGGAGACGTACAATAACTGATAAGTAATACAGTCAAAAGTCGTTAATCCGGACTCGTCGGGACTTCGGCGATTCCGGATTATCGATTTTTCCGGATTATAGATCATCAGTTTAAATCTCGTAAGATGGCATGCAAAAATTCT